ACACGGTTAATTTGATTCCCTTGTTAAAAGCCAGGTTCCAAGTGCTATTTTTCCAGTCACCACGCGCTTGTATTCTAAAATCCCCAAAGCAGAGGAAGTGTGAAGATGATGACACTGCAGCTGTGGAGCTGCCTAACTTTCCCCAAGCAGCAGCAGCAGCAAAGACGAAGGCGTTCGCTGCCTACCACAGCCAAGGGCTGAGGCTCCAGCCGGCCCCCAGCCTTCCCCACACGGTGGGGAGCAGCCAGCGCTCGCAACGCCAGCGCTGACACCAACTCCTCACAGGGTTACCCCATGATTTCTGTAGCACCCCCTGCACCGGAGCCACTCAGCCCAACTCCCACGGACTCTCTCAGCGAGTTCCTGCCTCCCTCTCCAGCTGCCCCTGGAGCACCTGCACAGCCAGCATCCCGTGTGACTACGTGCAGGCTTGCAAACTCAAGCCGATTTGTTCCAGGGGTTGGTGGTTTGACTGGGGGGAACTGGAGCAAGGCAAAGGGAGCAGCACACTGATGCAAACTTATTTGTCCTTCAGACTGCTTCCCCTCACTTCACTCAACTGCCCTTGCGCTGTCTGTCATCACAGGCTACACCCATACCTCATCACCTCTTCCCACCAGAGGCTCAGTAAAATTACACAGCTACCAACATGAAAGTAGTTTTAGTGTGAATTACATTTTCTTCCTCTTCTATGTTCACAGTTTTGGATTGTAGCTTCCTCTGTATTAAGAAAGTGCTTCACTTGCTAGAGCCTTGCTCCTAATTTCTGTCCCAAGGAAGCAACAGTAGTAGAATCTAAACAGGCTCTAGATCTCTGGGCTATATGCTTTTCATCATTTTCTTCAGCTACCTGTAAGCTTAAAACCTCAGAAATGATCCTAAACTGTATGGGGGCAAAAAAGTCTCAGGAACATACATGTTCCACTCTCTGTTACTGAACAAGATCATGAAAGGAATCTTAAGCTATTCACCAACAAGAGAAAAAAATAGCTCAGATGACAGGTTCAACTTTTATTCATTACTCTGCTGAAGGAACAAAATGTGTATTTTCAGAAATAACAAAACTCCTGTTTCTGTGTGATACTACAAGGCAAATGCTTTATTCTCCCAGTTATTTTGTCCACTTTGCAGCACAGAAGAAACCACCTAAAGCTGAAAGTGAGCTTGCAGAAGGAATAGCTCCAACACAAAGTGTGCTGTACTGACGCTAACTATATGTAGCGTGGAGATGAACAGACACCTCAGCTTGAGGCATCCAATGCTGTAGCACCTCATTCGGTGAAAAGATCATTTGGCAATTGTGCATTTGTAAACAGCTTCTTATTGGAAAACTATTTTACTCTAGGGCTTGAATCCTGCTTTAGGAATTCAGCAGGTACAATTAAGCATAACAGAAGAATCAAAGCTATAAATTAAAAAACAATGTGAAGTCTAAAGAGATTAGAGGGTTTGGTGGTTTTTTTGGTTGGTTGTTTTTTTTTTGTTTGTTTGTTTGGTTTTTTTTACTTTTTCCCAAACACCTCCTCTGAAAACAGGCACTGACCAAGAAGGCAAAACTCTTTTATCAGCATAGAACACTTCCCAGCTGAAGCCCAGGCACCTTTCTAAGGGTCCCCTGCTTATGCCCAAAAGCTTCAGATTTAATACCTCTATTTGGACATGCTAGTCAATTTAGCAGCAATACACTGGAGAAAGCGTACATCATACCAGAATACGTTTGAACTGGCAAATTTTACAAAGAGGAGAAAAGGAATACAAGCAGGTTCAGTGCACAAGGCTATACAGTTGCACAGATGTGCTTTAACTCCAAGCATGAGCAGTACCAAAGCCCATGCACCTAGACAGGGATGTGTGCTCACTACGGTACTCTGTGTCATTTTTCACACAACACTGCAAGATTAATACCACTGATTGTCACCAATAATGTATTCATCTAGTCTCTCAATTGGAAATGCCACTGTTTGTTGTTTTGTTTTTTGGTTTGCGGGTTTTTTTTGTTGTTGTTTGTTGGGTTTTTGGTTTTGTTTTTTTTTTTTTGTTTTTTTTTTTTACAAAATCAATATCCCATTTACACTTAATTGTTTTAACACAAAGCATTCTGGTTTTACATAATTATAACATGTAATTTTACCATTGTGCCACATTCTCAACTAGCAGGTTTGAGTTTGACTTGTTTTTCTGACCAAAACAACTACATTAAAATGTTATCAGGCTTTCACAAATCCTTTTTGAATACACACCTGTCAGTACAGGGGCAGACGAAATAGCTATGTGAGCACATTTCAGCTACAGCTTCAAATGGTACAAAGGCCTCAAAGCACTTCTCAAGGGAAACCATCATTTTGGTTATTTGTTCCTGCTTCCAACAGGACTGTATACTTACTTACAAATATACAAATGTGTATTTATTCACTAGATTTGTCTCTTAGAAAATGCTACCACTAAGTGGGCTAACGTTTTCTACATAAAGTTTGCGTGTCATTACAATTACACAAATCCAGCAAATAATGAATTTAGTGCATGAGAACGTTTTCAAGCATGCCATGTTATGTTATTAATTGGCAACAGAATTAAACACCTATTGTCTTTTATAAGTCCTGGGAGCCTTTCACTGTTTTGCAAACAAACCGATGTCTTCCCCTACTAACAACAGAGGAAAATGCAGAAAGGCATTGATTAAAAGGAAAGTGAAATAATGAATAATGACACAGCTTGTTAGTAGTAGTAGAAAAACAAAACAAGTGATTTGATGTTTTACCTAAGCTTCCTTTTGCCAAGTCTCCGGTCTTAGCAAGCAGAATAACTCCCCAGCATGGCCTGCATGAATGGAAGTTGCATTTAAGATATACAAAGTAGCACTTGCTAGTAAGCTCAGTGAAAACAATTACCATCAACAATTTTACATTAAAAATAACACAATACAGATATCTAGCAACTCCTTCTTCATGAAGCTCATTATTACGGGGCACAAAAAATTACTATTCAATCTCTTAGCGCATGTTGAGTATGCTGAAAAGACTGCAGCAAGTTTGAGCACAGACAGTAAATAACTCCCAGGGTAAGTTCCAGCTATTTAACACCTGAGTGCTGCTGTGAACAGAACATGTCAAATGTGACAACAGGAGTATCATCAGTAAATAACTGCTCTGGTGAAGCCCCCTGGCAGCTGGGGAAGATTATGCGCTTGAAGAACTAGCAAGAGGATGCCCTGTTCCCTAAATATTGTTTCATTAACATGAATAGCATTGCTTTTCAAGGGACAGATTAATTTTCTCAAAAATTCTGTCATGGATTAAATTGGACCCACTCTTATGATTAAGAATCATTCTGTATGATTTCTAAGAACGTTTTTAATGAAAGCAATTTCTCCTTGTCAGTTAAGACTTATGTTACAGTCAGAAAACTGTCTGCAAAAAGTCGTACAATTAGAGAGGAGCATAAGCAATGCAGAAAGAGCAAATCTATAAATTATGATTATCATACCCTTGAACATGAGGTTGAGTTTCCACTCCTACAAGAAATAAGTCACGGAAGTGTAATTTGATTGAGCAATGTCCTTCTCTAGTACTGACTTCTGTGCCTGCAGAAAGTCACCATAATCATGTTATTGCTTACCAGGGATGGATTCTACGCTGTGCTAACAAGAAGACTGAAACATAGCACAAGTGTTTAGTTTCAATCAGTACAGTGTATGCTGCTGACAAGCGTTAAAGTTTAGTCTTGTGCAACCCCACCTCTCACCCTGCTGTCTACTGACAGCATGTTTAGCTGCCAAAGGAGGTACGTTTCAGGAGGTGTTTTCTTCAACTTCTGCCTCCTCGTTCCCGAGTTTAATTCTTACTACACCGTGTTCTGCCTGCCCGTCCCGTCCCTAACGCCCTCCCTGCTTCCCGCAGCTGCCTGCGGCCCTGCCCGCCCCCCCAAGAGCTCCGGCGGCCACCGCTCCCCGCCGCCGGTCAGCGCTCCTCGATGCCCGAGGGGCGGGCAGCCCTGGGGGGGCGGAGGACGTGGTCCCCACGCAGAGCCCTCTCGGGGCGCCCCTGCAGCCCCGGTACCGGCGAGGGGCGGCTCTCACCCCTCCCACCACCCCCCCCCCCGGCCAAGGTCTCCCCTGCCCACACACTTGGTAGCGGAAGTGACGTACCCAAGCGCTGACGGCATCCGCGACCTATCCCCAGCGGACGACGGGGCCAAGCCACCACTCAGGAGCAACCGGGGGCGGCACTTCCGGGCCTTCAAGTTAGTCTGGAGGTGAGGCGGGGAAAGGGAAAAAAAAAAAAAAAAAGAAAAAAAAAAAGGCCTCAATCAGAAAAATAACGACGATAAAGACAGGTCCTGGCGGCGGCGGGGGAGGGGCGGCAGGCGCGCCCCACCAGGTAGCGGCGGCCGCGGCCCCGCCTCACGCCGGGGTAGGGGGCCGCAGACGGCGCCTCCACCCACCGTCCAGGCGGCTCCCCCCACAGCGGGGACAGCCCCGGCCCCGCGGGGAAGAGCGGCCGGACCGCAACCCCCGCGCCCGCAGCGGGGAGAGGAGACGGGCCCGCCCGTCCCACCTACCTGCTTGCCCTGCCCCAACCGCTGCCGCCCGGGCTCCGCCAACAGCCTCCCGCTGCCCACCCCGCGGGCGATGGCGGCGGCCTGCGCGCCCCGCCGCGCCCCGTTACCTGCCGCAGAGTGACCCGGAGCCGCGCCGGGACCCGGATGGAGTCGCGGCCGCTCCTGCCGCCGCTCGCCGCGCGGCACCACGGGAAGGCGTGACGCGCCCCGCGCCGCCCGCCCCATTGGCCGGCGGGCGCCAAGCCCAGCCCACTAGAGCGGCCGGGCGGAGAGAGACACCCGTCTATCATCTACCGTCTCTCACGCCCATTGGGTTTGGGGCGTGCGGCACCGCCTCCACCTGGGACGCTCTCCCCTCACTGGAGAGCGGGGAAAAAGTCTCCGCTCCCTCCGCCATTTCTGCCGAGGCGGCCTCGGGCGCAGCCGCAAAATGGCGCCCCCGGCGGCTGCCCCTCCACTGCCGCAGTTAGTGGGGCCGCTTCGCTGTGGTCCGGCTCCTCGGGGGTGCCCGAAGGTCCGCGGCCTGGCTTCTGCCCCTCAGGAAGGCCCGGCCCGACCAGACCAGGTGGCTGTTCTGACGGGTGCACTCGGCCCCTTAACCAAAGCAGTGGTGGTTTGGTACAGGCTCCAGAGGAGGTAGAGGTCTGAGCGGTAGCTGGGCCAAGAACTCTGCTAGAAGACCTCACGAAGGAGCCGAGGGGCCCAGTGAGCATCCCAGTGAGCCCGCAAAACAGGCACACCAGCTCTCCCCACAGTCCCTCCTGCCCCCTTTCCCCCCCCCCCCCCCCAGCCCGTCCCTGGCTACCATGATGCAGTGGAACCCCCCCCAGCACCAACACAAACAGTGTGTATGAGCTTGGAACATGGATCATATAAGTAACGTGTGAATTGTGGGTGGGTTTTGCAAGTCATTTATCAAGGAACAAAGCAAGTTGTGGGTACAAGGAGTATCCAGCCTACCTTTCCAATTATATGCAATTTGACTATAAGCCAACCAGTTTAGCCCATAAATAAGACAGCCTAACAGAGCCTTCTTGGAGCTCTCCCTGCTAGACAGCATGGCTGTGTAGCAGTGACCTCCCCTTGAGCTGGGGCACCTCTTGAGGTTCCTCCTTGAGGCAGAGAGACCTTTTACCAGCAATGGTTTGTTGGATGAGACCAATTTCAGTTCTCCTTGGGAGTGCAACTGGACTGCACATCAGGCGACCCCCCCCACCTTGAGCAGGGACACCTCCCAGGGTTTGTGATCCCATACCAGAGACGAAGAAATCCTTCCTTACCCAAGGTGGAGACAGCCCTTATTCACAACATATCCTAGGTAAGCAACTGATAGCATGCTGAATTAATACTAGTGAAATCCATGCACCTAATTCCATTAGACATAAACCGTTGTCCAAGTCTGAGACTAAGATTGGGCCTACTTGCCCCTGAGCTTGCTCAGGAGTTTGGAAAGCAAGGGGGTCCACTCTGAACCTCATGACTCAGCAGGAGGGTCTCCCTTACCCTTTTGTGTCTCCAGTCTCTGTAAATTGTTCTAGCTCGATTCACACTCAATTTTGCTTTGCATGTCTTCCACGTAGTAAGTAATAGAGATAACCTTGCTATTAACATTTTGTAAGTCACACTTGTTGCAACATCATATTTAAATCACTGTGATCATTTGCAGCAGCCTTGCGTTGCCAGGCTGGCATGTGTGTCCTCCAGCCCAAGGTCACTCTGGTGTTGGTTTGTAGTCTTGGTGCCAGCGGTGGCTTGAGTTTCCAGGTTGGCCATTAGCACTGTTACCTGGTTTTGGATCCGCTTTGACCCTTCACCATTGGTCTTCTGGGCGCTTCCATGTTGTTTCTCATCAGCTGCTTAGACCAGGAAACGGTCAAAAGATTTGAGACTAGTGCTTATGCATATATCTGTCCAAACAGTGGCCATCCAAACTATTACGTGATGCCAAGCAGCCCAACATCAGGTAAAGCAGCAACACGACCTGCACCCAGAGCAGGATAACCAGCATGGTCAATTGAAATATCTTTAACAAGCTCTCCTGAGGGGGTGGGGAGTAACAGTTCCAGGTAAATACACTCTATTTTACATGCATTTTCTGTCCAGACCTCCTGTTAGCCTCTCAGCATTGAAAGAGTGGCTTTTCTCTTTGGCAATGACAGCTTTTGTTTTCACTGTATTTTTTGTAGTCAATTTAAGTAGGTGATTGACTGAGCAACACAACTGGTGTTTTAATTGCTTTGCTGATAACATTCTCAGAGAGGTCATAATCTTGTTTAATTGGGGAGCAACCACTGAAGCACTTTCTCTTCCTTCACCCTTCCTTGCAATCCCAGTAAGATCTTGAAGTAATGACTTTATACTGTTCCTTGCGGGGAAGAAGAGCCTCTTTTCTGCCAGCAACACTTGGAAGTGGTTCTGTTGTCAAGTTGCGGGCCTTTGCAGTTGGGTGAGAGAAACCTCTAGCTTGCAGTTGATGCTCTATTGTGAATTGTTTATTTTGGACAAAGATTATCTATACTTTTTTTCCTACTTCTGTGTTTGCGTTCTATCCTGTTCTACTTTCAGAAGTAATCTTGACAAGGAAGGCACTATGTTAGTGGGGTTTTTTTGATCAAAATCCCATTTTTGGTGGGATTTTTTGAATGTTCTGGGGGACGCCCAGGGCCTGTAGGGCGCATCAAGGTCTTTCAGAGGAGGAGAGGTGTTCCTTCAGCTTGCTGGTCTGTCTGCAATACCGGAGTCCTCGGGACTAGTAGATGCTCAGGGAGGGAAGTGCTGTGTTTCGAAGCAAACTTGAAACACAGGTCTGTTTTCTGTGCCTCTTAATTCTCACAAGGTCACTGGGCTAGAGATACCTTGGAAATGGGGGAACGCACAGAGTCGTCAGTCTTTGTTTGCAAGGAAGGGTTTCTGTTTTCTTGTTCGGAGAAATGTTAGAAATAAGGAGACGTCTGTGAGTTCTTAACAGTTGTGTTCAGGGAGTTTGACTGATGAAGTTCTTAGGTGTGTGGTGTCCTGTCTTAATACTTCACAAATAACGTTTTTTATCTCAAATGTGGGAAGGGAACACGGCGCCTTGGTTTCGGCGATCAGAGCAACGAACAGATCAGACGGTGCCCTGACTCCTGTCTGGACAAGGCAGAGGTTTTGCACGTCGAACAAACGAAATCGTGATGCCTGAACAGCTGAAAGGTGAAGCCCAATGCAGTTTTCATCCTTGTGCAGGTGAAACGTTGTGAAATAAATTCGGCCGGCTGCTAAATTCCTTTTTACTTCCAGGTGTCAGTGGACTCTGTTCCTGACGAATACAGACGCTACAGCACAGCCCATGTTGGGGTGAGCACCTTTTGCCGGGTGTCCGCCAGGTACAACCGAGAAGCGCTTTGTTAGCCCCTGCACTCCCACTGCGGGTCACAAGATGGGGTCTGAATACCCAGAGAGACAGCTGTGCCAGCAGCACGTGCAGCAGCGAAACACCACCTTGCCACTCTATTTTGCTTGGGTACCGTAATAAATCTCGCTAGCTGTTTTGCCAATTGACGGGGTTAACACAAAGGACACAGACACCAAGCTAAAGAAATAGGCTTATTTTACTTTAGTAGAAATAGAAATTTTACTATAGTAGAAATAGCAGAAAGAATAAGCAAGGTAATGCACCTAGACATTACTATTTAAAGCTAGCTATAGTGATTAAGAAAGATACATCACCAATTGCCCTCATACTTTACCATCATCCAGACCCGTGCATCAGCTGGGGAGCCCCGTCACAGCGAAGGGTCGCAGAGCCTTTCCCGGCAATTGGGAAGTCCCACGCAGTGCGTCCACTCGTAGGTGAGGTCTCCGTCTTTGCTGTGAGAGGGTCCAGCTTTTATACAGTTTAACAAACAAGTCTAAACAAAATGCACAGGAGATATCTGGTAGATTGGTATGCCTCACTCAGGCATGTCCGGATCTGGCCAGGATCCGGGCATGTCTGAGGAGTTTCTGTTTTTCTTTACATTTGGGATTTATAGTTACTTCCTGTTGTTTACTTATAGTTCCCAGGGATTGTCCCCAGGGTTACATTTTCATGCTGATAAGATACGGGTTGCTTCAGTCTGCTGATAAGATGCTGATTGCTGGTCGGGGAATTCACTCAGAAGTCAACTTTGGTTTGAGGCCTATTGTTTGGGCCCCTTTTTGTTTCACTAGCTAGCACGCAGAGAGGGCTTCCGAGAAGTAGCAGTTATTAAATGTTATTTTTCAGGAGTCCTGTTCAGGAAGGTGGAAAGAGGTAAATTCAGGTACCGATTTTTAGTAAGTTACAGGTGGTGCTGCCGGCAGTGAGGAGGGTTGCTGGAGGGCTGGATTTGCGGGAGGAGCAGAGTGCTGTCATGAGGCAGACCATCCCATCCGTCAGATAAATGAGGAGGGATCCAGAAGTGTTTTCCCCAAATGAAGCATTCTGTGGACGGCACCTTTGTTTTCAAAGCAGGAGATACTTCCTGAGTGTCGGTGTTCTTTTGCGCCTGAGACTTTGCCAGATGCGCGCTGGTTCATGGGTGGCTGTTGCTCGTTATACCCGTAATTGGGAGGTGGCTTTGGTTGTGGCTTAGAGAACAATTCCACGGTATGTCCAGTCAGGCACCAGCCAGTTGTTGACGTGACAGTGAATTGTTTTATGACTTTCTGCCCAACTCGCATCTTGTGTTTGAAAAGAAATGCCAGCCCATCTCTTTTGCTGGACTGCGCGTAGCTGTGGCTTAGCAGGCCGTTTTCGATAGCGCTGATTATTTTAAAAGCAGATCAAGGCACATTGAAACTACGTGACTTGACATGTACTGTCCTAGGAAGAGTCTTTGGTCTTGCAAAATAGCGCCGAGTAGTGCTGCTCACCTTCCTCTCTGTTTCTTCAGGACAGATAGGAACGCGAGAGTCTAAATCTGTTCCTCATCTAAGAGTCGAGACACTAGTGTAAAAGTGACAGCTGAAGGTTTGCTCGCAATTGGGGCGTTCACATTTATCCACCATTTCCATGTGAATCCTGCCATGTCAAAAGAAGCGTTAGAACTTCTGTTGCAACCTCTTTTCACAGCGTCTGCTTAGTCACGCGCAGCTTTCCTGAAGAACCTCATAATGTTGTTTGGAGAGGTGCCACGTGCCAGCCAAGAGGTCAGCAGGCCCCTCTGCAGTTTTGACAGCCTCCAACGCTGTCGGGCCCCCCTGTCGTTACGAGGGGCCCCTTTCCATTACCTGCAGTTCCCTAAGGCAGACGAGGTTCCCAACATGCAATGGAAATGTTTCTCATCTGTACCTGCTTGCCGTCTGTAAGACAAGCTGTTTCTCTGTCTCTGTCAATGCATCCAGCATTAAATCGATATCTTTCCAATCGGGATCTTGATTTTTTTTTTTAATTATTTTTTTACAATCTTTTAGCTACCCCTGAGGGATCATCTTCCCAAGCAGAGCCTCTTGTTACAGCCTAACTGGGGAAAGGAGAAATAGAATTCTAATTGATAATGAAGCAACATATTCTGCACCTAACACCTTAGAAGGACCACATAGTTCAAAAAAATATTAAGGGAAGCTGCAATTTGCTTTATGGATAACATAGGATCTAGCATTCCATGTGAAGTAGAGGACGCTGTGATTCTTATCGTGTTGGTGAGTGGAATTACCTGCAAAATCCAGGGCAGCAGAACCAGTAAAGATCCAATTGAAACAGGGAATCATGCTGGTAAGATTGGAACAATATCCAATTAAAAGAGGCCTTGAACCTTTAGTAAATTCTCATTACTAATATGAGGTTTTGTGGTCGGACAGGTGCTGAAGCGTAACGCTGCAGCGATGGTAAGACGAACATCTTGCCTCAGAGGATGTCTCAGCAATGTTGAGACAGACATCTGTTAAGACAAGCACAGTCTCAACAAAGTCCTTTACAAACCTCTAGTAAATTCTCATTCTTAATATGATTATAACTACTAATAATATAATAATGAATATAATTAATAATAACTAATATGATTATAATCATATTACTAATATGATTGGAATTCACCAATCGAAATATAACACTCCCATATTGGAGGTAAAGAAAGCTAATGGGGAGAATTATGGCTGGTACAGTATTTAGAAGCAACTAGTAGAGCAGTAGAAGATATACATCCTGTAGTAGCAAATCCACACACATTGTTAACTACATTACATGAAAAATTAAGGTAGTTTACAGTGATTGATTTAAAGGATGCCTTCTTTTGCATCCCCTTAAGTTCGGAGGGCCAGGAATCGTTTGCCTTTGAGTGGGAAATCCCTGAAACAGACCACAAAACAGTAACATCTCAAGGGCAAATAATGGTAACTCCTAGCTTAATATGAGAGGTGGCCACAAAAGAACACGAAGCTACTCACTGGGGGATGAAAATCCTGGTTAAATATTTATGAAAAATTATAATCAGTAGACTCATAACTGAAATTGTAAAATCAGTAATTGAACAATGTGAAATTTATAAGGTAAATAATCATAATACGGGCAATAGGGTAGTTTTGGGAATAACTACGAGTGGACTGATTCCAGGAGGATACTAGCAGATAGATTTTGCTTTTGCTTTTTACCAAGATTACCCAGTACAAGGAGATATATCTGTATCTTGGTCTTAGTGGACACATTTAGTGGATGGCTGGAAGCCTACCCCTGTCGCACCAATATGGCTCGTGAGGTGAAACAGCTGCTGAATCAAACAATACCCTGATTTGGTATACCAGCAGGCATATCTTCAGACAGAGGTCCCCGTTTTTACTGCAGAAGTTCAGAAAGTGGGAAAAGCATTTTGGGATTAGATGAGACCTACATACCCCATAAAGGCCTCAGGCCAATGGAAGAAGAACTGAAACTCTCAAACTACAGCTGAGTATGATATGCCAGGAAATTTGGTTACAAGCACTACCAATAGCAATATTAAGGATAAGAATACAGCTTGGAAAAATCATGTAAGCCTCTATGAATTAATGTAACAGTTCCTGGAGACTTTTCTTTGTCAGAGGTCCTGTCTTCACTGCAACACCTGCTGGCACTGGGGGAGACCCTCTAGTGGCTTCACAACCAGTTCACATCACCAAAGCGGGTTTTGGACACTCTGGATCACCCATTCCAACCAGGGGACTGAATTGGAATTAAACATGGTAAGATGAGCCACTGGCAAGTAGGTGGCAGGGACCCTTCCAGGTATTATTAACCACCTATACAGCACTGAGGGTAGCGGAGAACGGACCTTGGATACACTACTCGGGCTGGAAGAACCTCTGCTCCATCTGCAACAAAAATCGCTGCTCACTTTGCAGTCTGTAAGAAAAACTGAATAATTAAAGGGTATTTGTGGATAATAATTTCAACTGGTTTATTATTATATATTAAAAAAAAAAAGGAGGGGTCAGGGGACCAGCTATTTAACTAGGTCGGACTTGGGACAAGAAATCAAATGGTAAAAGGATTTAATATAGACTGATCCTGGTTGACTAGCTGGTTGCCAAACCTTTAATAGGCAAAGCAATTTGTTGTGATTATAATTTTGATAATCTTTACATGTTTGATCACTCAAATATTACTACTGTTACAATCTTGTCTAGTATTATATATTGTATATATTACATTATATTACGATAGTATTGTAACTATCCGCTTTTAAGTGTAAGAAAGGATGGTTCCAGACTGGATGGCTGATAGTAAACGTGATAATGATTGTCATATTATTTGTAATCAGTGTAATCAAAAGAATAATGTTATGAGATTTGTGAGAATTTATGGTCTTAAAGCGGGAATTAATACCTCCCGACACTAGCCATTGTGAAATTGCTAACAACAGATGGTAAGTGGAAGAGAGGAGCTGGCTATCTTGTTAAGCTTTGGATAAATGTAACTAGGACAGAAAGACCCCCAAATTATCCAATTTGGTGCCTGTCAGGTGTTGAACTGTGGAGGTGTTGAGACCCAGAGACAATTAAGTAGTGAAAGTAAATATCTATGCCCTGTGACACAACTTCATAGGGGGCCACCATGTCCCAGGTAGAATAATGTATGGGGGACTACCACCTACCAGGGACGGACCTACACACCTCCCTGCCCAATACAGCAAAGGCATTAAAGGATCAAATAGGCAGATCTAAAGTGGTCCTCAGTCCCACCTGCTCAACCTTACAACGTAAAGCATCAAGATAAGCACCTGGGAATTTGTTAAAAACTGACCTTCTTGGAGCATCCCAGGGCGGAAAAATAGATTACTAATAGCTAACTACATGACCATATATGGGCGAAGGAAAACCAAAGTTCAGTCACCTGACAGTGAAGAAGAGTATGAACGACCACCCAAGCGGGAAAAGACCCTAACGCTAATTTTATCATGCATGCTTGGCCTATGTAAATAAGTTCTAGGCAATCTTATATGTATGTAGATTAGTTCTCAGAAATCCACTGAAGATGTGTAACCTCGCAGCATATATTCTCTGTGATTTTACCTGTCTGTTGGAGCACTCATGGTGGAGTGATCCCCAGTGCTGATCGGCACTGCTAATGAAGAATACCTGCTTGACAGTTACATTGGATTCTAACTGTTGAGTCAATGCCTGCGTTTCAGATGGTGACCCAGATGGGACCCTCTCCACCCAGCTGCAGGGCCCATTGAGATTGGGACTCTCTTGGCTACCTCTGGGGATTTTTCTCTGGAGACATTCCTCTCCTCAATCGGATCGCTGCGGGGATGGACAAGGACCATCTAAAATAAAGGTATTCTTTGAGGAACTTTGTTTAAGAACGGGTCCATTTGGGAGCCTACCCATAAGTGGTATTGTGTAACGCAAGGTGAGCATATACCGGCTTGCTAGCACCTCAACGACACAGTTGGAATTTTCCATGTCTGCAATTGCCTGTGAGGGTCTTGCAAGTTTGGTAAATAATCTTTTTCTGTATTGTGAATTTTGTGTGCCTGCAATTGCCCGGGGACAGGCTTCTCTGTTGTGAATTGTGGTGCTTGCGAGTGCCTGGGGACAGGCTTTTGTAAGTTTGGTAAATAATCTCTTCTTCTGTATTGCGAATACATGTGAGTGACCGAGACGTGCATTTTACAGGAAGCGAGTGTAGAACCCCAGTCGTCCGTTCTGTTATCCCATGAGGGAAACAGCCAGAGATGGGCAAAGCGAATGATTATGTGAATAACTGTTGGTTACATCCCGATAATAATATTTGTGTACCTGTGCTGGTATTGAGTTGCGTAAGACGTAGTCAGAAAACCCGGGTATATTTTGGTAGCGATATTGAATGTGTTCCATGGAAGTTGTGGGTGGATTGGGATTGGTGGTATAGCGCTCTTGAGAGTGTAAAGGCAGACTGTGGTTGGGAAGGAAGCCTGAAGCACAGTTAGCATGGGGAATCGGCAAAGTGAAGGAGAGCTTAAGAAAAGTCCACTCGTGTGTACCAGCCCCTTGGAAAGATTGAGGTGGACCACCTGGAGGGTCGGCAAAAAGAAGACTCTCATAAAATACTGTGCATCAGTGGTGGCCACTATATCAACTGGAAAATGGGGAAAGGTGGCCTTTTAAGGGGACGTCGGATTATAATACTCTTGATGCAACTGATGTTATTTTTAAGATGAGGAAAGAAATGGGATGAAGTAGGATATGCAGAGATGTTCTTTTCTCTAAGAAATCACCCGGAGCGGCAGAGAGATTGTGGAATAAATATGCCACCCCAAGACTCCTTGGTGCTTGCCTTGGAAAAGGACAGGAAGAAGGAACAAGGTCCTATTCCTCGGTGGTGTTCAATCTGCAGTATAGCTCAGCCGTGTCAAAAACATCAGAGGAGAGAGGAAGAGCAAGAGGTTGAAAAGGAGTTAGAGGACTGCGTATGTCCCGGTGGGAGAAGGAGAGAAGCAGGAGGGGAAGGAGGCAACAGACACGAAAGAGAATAAAGGAGTTGGGGACAAGCAAAAATTTCTCTCCTATTACCCACAAAACTCGCAGTAAAATGGGACCGGTAATTCAGGCCCTTTTAAGACAAGCTGTAGGGCCTGAAGAGCCCATTAAAGTTCCTTTCTCCATGGGGGATTTAGATACCTGGAAAGCGATACTTAAAAGGATAGACAGATGATCCCTCGGGGGTAGCTAAAAGATTGTAAAAAAATAATTAAAAAAAAAAAAAAATCAAGATCCCGATTGGAAAGATACCGATTTAATGCTGGATGCATTGACAGAGACAGAGAAACAGCTTGTCTTAAAGACGGCAAGAACCCAGGTAGAGGCACAAATGACGGCTGGGGTCTTGCAGGGGAGGGTGGACGCCTGTATTCCCCTCACTGAGCCTACATGGAACCCTGCTGATGATGCAGAATATAGGCTGTTGAAGCAATATCAAGGATGGATCAAATCTGGATTGGAAGGTGCAATACCAAAAGCTGTAAATTAGTCAGCCCTGTGTGCTATTAAGCAGGGCCTAACTGAAACCGAGTTTTGAGATAAACTGAGATCTGTGATGCGTTAATATACTACGTTAGATCCTTCACCTGATATTGGACAACAACAGCTTGAATCGTTATTTTGGGGGCAATCATCTGAAGACAGAAGGAAATTGCAAAAGTTGAAGGAACCAGAGATAAGAGATTTGGAGAAGTCAGTTGAAGCAGCATGGAGGGTATATAGGAAAAGGGAAAATAGTGACCGAAGGAAACGTGGATGAACAATCGCTACTGCCACTGTCACTGCTTTGAATCAACAGAAATTCTCTGTGATTTTACCTGTCTGTTGGAGCACTTGCGGTGGAGCGATCCCCAGTGCTGCTAATAAAGAATACCTGCTTAACACTTAAAACGGATGCTAACTGCTGAGTCAACGTCTGTGTTTCACCTCAACGTCTGTGTTTCACCACGAGTGTTCCACAAAACTGGAGAAACCACAGGCAATCTCAAATGAGGCCGAAGCTTCTGGACAGCTGAATCGGCAAGGAAAAACCCTCCTGGAACAGCACGAAAATTCGGTACAATTTCCACAGGAGGACAGAAGGCTTAAGGGAAAGAGAGAAATGCAAACTAAAAGGCAGAGCCTCGAATCAGGACCCATCAAAACGTAACGTGCGAATGCAACAGTAGTTTGAAAAGCTCATCAGAGGAATTAGTATCAAGGATCACCTCTCTACTGTGTGCCAGGAGATGCTTTCAAGTACCACCAACCTAGCCAAACACATCACTCAGCATGTCCAATGCCTTTGTTTTTTCAGATGAGAGTCCCGATCGCCACGTCCGCAAACAAGAACTGCAGCAACTGGAGAATGCAAACGACATCAACAAAGATCACTTTGAAAATGCAGCCGCCCTCCCCCGCATTGCAGCACTAATGCAAACACTAGCATTAGTGAAAATATAGATTTCACAGATTTTCTGACAGAAAAAATGACAGCACTATCTCCTGACATTCAGCCTTCCTTTCCCAGCCATACGTGCTGCCTATATATTCTGTCAAACAACAGAAAGCCACGTTGAAAGGTAAACAGAATGAGAGGCAAGTAGTACATATGGTCTGCTGCATGATTTATTATCCCACCACAAATGAATAACTGTTGGGAAGCTGGCACTAAAAGAGTAGCCTCTCTCTCTTCATGGGGGGTGAAAGGGCTGCCCCCTGAAGCTGTGGCTGGGGGGATCTGTCTCCCCACCCTCAACCGATACCATGGCGGGGCCGCCTCCTGCCCTTGGCAGAGGGCCGGACCAGCGGGCTCGGGAGTTAGGGGTGCTTTTTCAGATGGGGCCTCGGCGTGCTGGGCAGGTTCTGCCGCATCAGGGCATTCGGGGATGGGCTGGGGGAACAAGAGGCACTGGGGGCCATGGGGAGGGTGGACATGCCGGCGTTTCAGGCAGGGGCTGCGGCTCCTGATGTTGGGTCCAGCTGTCAGGGATGCCGGGGTGGCTGGTCGGGCTGACCAGATGCAAGGGTCACCTGCCGGTTTCCAGCCGCTGTACCCAAGCAGCGTAGGCATGACTGTGGAGAGAGGAAGCCGCTGAGGCACTCGGCTGCAGGAGGGACACAGGGACTCCCCTCCAGAGCAATGCCCACAAGCAGCCATGCAAGGGAGCAGTGCAGGGAAAATCACTGACTCACTCTTTGCTCTTACTCCTCTGCTGGACGATGACGTAGCACAGCAGCAGTGCAAGTGGCACGAAAATCACGATTACCACTGTGCCGATCATGCAGCCCTTCCGCACATCTTGGGGACAGAGAACACTGGCAATATTGTGGGGACGGGACATACTCGGCCTTTTCTTGCCAACCGCACCTGGAGATGCAATTGGGGATGTTAGTCTGTCCAATGCACCACTGTAAGCTGGCAGCACGTCTCATATGACCAGGAAGGTCTCTGTTTCCCACCAGTGCTGGTGCCCGGAGGCACGCTCCCACCCTTTGGGACAGGTTGTCCCCCCAAACAAAACTGAGGCGGCCAGAGGAGCACGTGGCGGGGAGCGCATCTGCTCGAGCAGTCGCTCCTTCGAGGGACACGGACAGAAGAAACCATCCCTGCAGCAGGCAGTGCCACCCCCAACTCTCCCTGCCCCCGGGCAGCTCCCACATCACCAGGGGATGGAGTCAGGACTTCTCAAGAGACACCTGAGCCTCCCTCCCCACTTCTGCCTTTTCCCCAGCATGGGCACCGCCTGCAGCCGCTCCCAGAGTTCTGGACTTATCTCCCACTGAAGGACCCCAGCAAGACTGCTCAGTACCTGAGTCTGTTGGATGAAATTCATACACTTTGCTTCGGTGATGTTCCCCAAACCTTGACAGCACTGCCAAAAAGCAGAGAGGAGAGGTAAAGCCTCCGCATGGCTCAGGCACAGAGGATGCAGGAGGATGGGGAGGTTCCCTCCAAGCCCCTGCCCAGCTGGGGAGTCAGGGCATCGCTCTGGACCTCGGCTCACGGGAGGGATCCCGCTTTGTGCTGCTCTTGGGCCTCGAGGGACTCATGGCAAGCTCTGGGATGCAGCTACAGCGGGAGGTGCGTCGGATTAAGAGTTACATTCCCCATCATCTGCGGAACGTGGCCCAGGTGCCGCGAGCCCACAGCACTTTCCCCTTTGGCTGCTGACGTGATGTGCAAGAGCGGGACTGGGGGAAGAGCCTGCTGACGCACAGCGATCCCGATGGGTGCCAGCGGCTGACCCCGGCACAGCAATTACCTGGCATGCGGGGGGCTTGCATCGCCTCCCTTGCTGAGGCAGAGGCGAGCCGTGAGCCACTGCTTCCTCCTGGAAACGCCGACTCCTGCACAGCCTCTGGGTCTGTCTCTTGAGAAAGAAAGCGGGACAGTTGGGTCAGGTGGAACCGTTCCCCATCAGGGCGGTGGCACCTCCAGGAGGCAACGCTTCTCAAAGCCATCGGTAAGGTTTAGATAAATAAATCTGCCTGCCGACATCTGCACAAGCCAGCTGTGAGCCGTGATGGTAAAACGGGGGCACCAGCTGCCCTTGGCACTTGGCTTGAGCCACAACTGGCAGCAGAGGCTCTGCCCCATCTCTGTGGCTCGCCAGCGCCTGCAAGGCGTGAAACCCAGCATCGCTGCTGCGAGGCTCTGCTCGACCCCTGCCTGCTGGGCCGGCGACGGCGTGTCTGGACACGGATCTAAGAGCTCCGGCTGACGAGTCTCACGGCTAAGGCAGAGCAAAGTGTACCCACCCTGTGTTCTCTCCAGCTCCTCCAGTACGTGTTTCATCACTTCTGAGGCCTCCCGGGAATTTTCTCCTCCTTCAGCCGGGTACTTCGCTCTTGGAGGACCTTAACAGAACGTATTTGGTACGATTCCACATGAATAAATTGCACAAAACCAGTGCACAGCCTGTGAGGTGAGCAGAGGACAGAATACTCACCCGTGGGATGCCAGCCAGACTCTTGCGCCGGATCCAACTGAGGAGCTGGAAAAGTCCTCCCGTCAGGAACATCTGTAATTATTAATCACCCAGAGAAGCTCCCGTCATCTACACTGGCAGATGCGAATCGCAGGAGCGGTGAGGGGGTCACGCAAGCAGAGGGCACCCACGGGCAGGTCTCCGTCCTCCCACCTGCAGAGGCGCCCGGCCGGCTGACCTTTGGGCTGTGAGCGGGCAGCTCTGAAGGGGAGGGAAAAGCCAGGACGTACCCGTGCCATCTCCCGCAGTCGCCGTCCTAGAACCCAGCTGCCAAGCTGCATCACCTGCGCCTACAGGCACGGCTGCAAAGAAGCACAGGACAGAACGGCTCCGGTGACACAGTCCAGGATCCTTCCTCAGATCGGAGTGGCAGCTCAGGAGCGCCGGGCAAAGACGGGATTACTCCACGGCACTCCTCTCTCCCCTCCGCTCAGGAGCTTGGTGCAAAGAGTTACCGTGTGCCTGCAGTGGCACCACGCTGGGACAAAATGAACCACGCGTGGAGCCGCTGGGAGAAAGGACTCCCTGGAGCTCGCACCAGCTCTGAAGTCAGCCCCAAGAAGCCCACTGGCTTGGCAGCCGGCACCGGGAGGGAGCAGCTCAGGCTCCCAGGGGCCGGCAAAGAGCTTCGCAAGGGAAAGCGCCCCGGGGCACGGCACTCAGCCCGACCCTTTCCCTCTCTGCTCTTCTGCACGTCTGCGCGTCGGCCGCAGAACGAGCAACTTGCATTTCACACGGAAAGAAGAAATTAAAAGGTAGATGCTCCTTGCTGCCTCTAAATTACCCGTGAGATTGCTCTCAGGCTGGAGGACAGGAATACTAGATAAAGACATTGGGAAGCCGTGGACAGTGAGGGGGTCTTCAGGAGATCTGCACGTGAATAAACTCTTGCCAAGTTGTCAGTGTTCACTCTTTCAACAAAATGGACATTGAGAACTTACCTCCAGGATGGCCCAAAGATTCCCAGTCACCATTGAGTTGAGAAGCCTTGTAACCATTGCCACCAGCCTCATCTAGAAGCAGACACAGATGTGAAACATTTCCATTGCATGTTGGGATCCTCGTCTGCCTTAGGGAACTGCAGGCACTGGAAAGGGGCCCCTCATAACGACAGGGCACCTCTGCAAACACTCTTTCCAGGCCATGTGCAGCACCTCTAGGAGCAGATGGACCAACATACGGCCCCTCGGGGCTTTCTGACCGGGAGAGCTCACACAGAGAGAGAGGAAGCCCTTGCTAAAGCACTGGAGGGAGAAAATCATCCTCCACGCTTCCTGGGGAGAAGAGCCCTCTGGCCCGTGAAAGGCTGCACGAGCCGTCCCCCACTTACCTGTTCCCCACGCTTTCCACGGAGCTGTCCTGGCAGCCCTGGCATGCAGGGCCACCAGGAGCAGGAGGATGAGGAGGAGGTGGTGGGTGGGGGCCATGGCCCTGTGCTTGCACCGTGCTGCTGCTGCTGCTGGTGATGCTGCCGGTGCTGCTGCTGCTGCTGCCGGTGCTTTTGCTGCTGCCGCTGCTGGTGCTGCAGTGGGCTCCGGGGGCTGAGCGATCCATATTTATGGCTGTCGTGACATGACAGGGCTCTGTGACCTCACAGCCCCACTGTGACCTCACAGCCGGGCCGAGGCTGCGTGGGGACGTCTCTCAGGGTGCTCGTGGAGAGCCGCTGGAGCGCAGGCGGGGGAGCTGCCCTCCCGGAGAGGGGAACACGTCCCCTCGGGCAGCTCCGTCCAAGGGCTGGGACACAGTCCCACCCGGGGCTGAGCCCACAGCTCTGCCCTGCTTTCCAGGCACTGTCACAGGGGCAGCGAGGAGCTCCCAGTCCCCCCGAAGAGGAGGAAACCGCAGGCAAGGGATTTCTGACCTCCTCGGGTGCTGTTACCAACAGCTCAGGATGATGCTGATGGAGCGAGGGATTTCAGTCTCGAGACAAGTGCAAGATGCCCTCCCGGAGTCATCTTCCAGGCTGGGGCCCCCTTTGGCACTAACCAGGCACTAACCAGGGCTAATGGGTCCCTTTGGTTTTAGGGCAAAGATGAAGTTTTCACTTTTCCATTTCTTCTTCATGTGTAATTGAAGGGAATACTTTCTGTCAGGGTCCTCACAGAGCAAAGTCAATCGATAAAACAGGCAAAAATTCTCTTAAATTATTTGACATGCAAAAGGAAACCATGTGTGGCAGGTGCACCCACCTGCTGGAAATGGGGCTTCCTGGCTGCTGAAATATAGTGGCCATTGATTTTTTTTTTTTTTTTTTGGTGCCCTTGTTCTCAGGGCTTTATGGGAATTGGGGCCCTCAGCCAATAAGGGCTGATTATTGACCGCAGATCAGATTTGTCGAGGGTAGAAACGGAGCCCCCGGGGGGAGCCATTTTGAGCTAGTCCTCCCTGGAGCAGCACAGCTGAGGTCGAGGACCGTCCCCTTGGGTCGGGACGCTGCCCAAGGAAACTCCTTGAGGTTCCCCCCTTGGGTCGGGATGCCACCCGAAGAAATTCCCCACGGTTGAGAGCCCTCGCTTTTTAGGTGAGTGACCAAGCGCTTTGGATTGTCGTTAAATCCCAGGAGTTTGTGCAGCAATAGCTTTTCCTCTCCCTGACACTCAGATCTGCCCTCTGTGAACGATTGCCAGAGTGCCAATTGATTGTATTAACATAAATTTAATTGTTGTCTGTTTATCTTGAGAGCCTCCACGACATTTTAATTGACGTAGTCAGCAGGATCCTGAGAGTGGAGCTATTATGGAGGCACAGTTGTGTCCCTTCTCCCCTAGACGTACAGTGGGTGAAGGTGAAACGGATTGATCTGATGGCCGTTGTGGGGAAGTTGGAACAGAGCCACAGAAGTTTTTGGGCTGGCCAAGGTAAAGGGAACGTGTGCCCCATCTTAGGTGCCTGTTTGATTCAGTTGCTAGATCACTTTGGAATAGTGGAGAAAGATAATTTATAGAAATTGATTGTTTAAGGAAGGAATTTTTACACAAAAGAGAGTGAATACAGTTACTGGAAGAAAACATTGGAATTATGTTGGTGTGAGCAAAAAAAAAAAAAACCCAGTAATTGTCCAGATCCAAAAGTCAATGATAAGTGTAGATCTTGAGGGGTGGGATGGGGACATCTGGCGAGACACCGATGAATGTAGTTTGGAGGAAACACAGGAACTGGAGGAAAGAAATGTGTGACCTCTTATCAAAACAGGACACATGGGTTCGCAAAGTGGGTACCCCCAAACCACCATCTGCATGATCCCCTGGACAGGACCCAAGCTTACCTGATACCTGCAAACTAAGATTATTAGAAAATAGGTATTTGTGGAATAGAATTATTAAGATCAATTTAAGGTGTTTTAACCATTTGACAATTGTGCTGCAGAACAAATGCTGATCTTTTGAGGAATAGTTGGAATAACTGTAGAATAAGGCACTCATAAATAATCTTACTGGAGACGGTTTGGCCTTGTAGTGGCAGGTGCAAGGAACCGTAAAGATAAAGAAGCTGAAAATTAGCAACAAAACCAGACCAGGCCAGCCTTGAAGGACAAGATCTACGTGACCACGGGACTGAGTTTGCGCAGAAGCAAGGGTCAACTGGCGAACACAGTGAAGAAGACGACGAGCCTTCATCTGAAGACCCCCGACGACTACCCGAAGTCTCCAACTGACATGCGCAAGAGACATTAACATATGCTAAATGAGTTCCTGGAAAAGTTATGAATATGATAAAAATGCGTTGAATACGTATGACTAAGGTAGTATAAATGCTTCTTGATTTCATTCTCACACACAGATGAGGAGGAGCTCTCCCCTGTGTGTCCGGCGCTGTAATAAAGAATGCCTGCTTTCTAAAACTCCAAAATTGAGTCTAAGTGAGTGAGTTAATTACCACTTTCCAGTAACACTCTAACCAAGGTAGCAAAATCATACTTAGTTATAGGTAAATGAATATAGTGAGGATCATTTCCAGTTAATTGTTGACCATGATGTCGTCCAGAAGTAGCTAACCAAGAAAGCATTTCAATTGCTGTTGTCAACATTTTGGAAAAAAAAAAAAAAAAAAAAAAAAAAAAGGAGGAAGAAATAACCACTATATAATAATTAGAGATGATTTTTCATTGTTCTCCTCAGAGTACCACTGTCCAAGTAAAGCATATGGTTGAAAGCTATGATAGATGAGAAATAGCCTAACAGTTAAATTCAAATGTATTTGGTTTGCAAATGGTGTATTAATTTTTTGTATAACCTTTTGTAAAGATGACTTTGCAATCTCTGTTAAATCATCGTTCTGAAGTAAGGTCAGTACCCCCTTTAAGCAAACAAAATAAGGGTGACAATTCCTGTGTGGTTATCCCTTTTAAGGGACATAACCAGTTAATAGTTCCCAGTAACTTTTGTAAATCATTCAGTGTTTGTATCGTAGGTGCAATTCTGACAGTCTGAGGATAAACAGTAGATTCATATACTTTCCAGCCTAAATATTTCCAAGGTGACACATTTTGTACTTTCTCTGGAGCAATTTGAAAACCATATCGACCTAATTCATGTCTTAAGGAATCAGATACAATATTCAGGTGTGTTAGTGTTTCTGTGGCCAGTAAAAGGTAATCCATATATTGATATAAAATTATATCCTTATAAATTTGCCTGACATGAGAAAGAGCTTCATTCACCACATTTTGACAAATGGTTGGGCAATTTTTCATGCCCTGTGGTAAGACTACCCAGTGAAAACGTTTCATTGGCCGATCATTATTTATCACAGGTAAGGAAAAAACAAATCGATATCATCAGGGTGTAGATAAACTGTAAAAAAGTAATCCTTTAAATCAATGACTCGTAAATTCCAGTTCTCATGAATCATTGTTAGACTAGGTGTCCCAAGCTGCAAGGTTCCCATAGGTGCCATAACAGCATTAATAGCTCTTAAATGTGGCAAAAGTCTCCATTTTTGTGGTTTCTTTGGAATAACAAAAATTGGAGTATTCCATGGGCTAGTAGATGGAACTACATGTCCTGCCCGTAATTGTTCCTCTACTAACAGACAAGATTGCTCCAGCCGTTCTTTCAAAGGCCACTGACTGACCCACACAGGCTGATCCGCAAGTGAAGTTAGGTTAAGGCGCAGCTGGACTTCAGTGGCCCTCATTAAAAATTTGTTGACAAAGTCATATTCCACTGTTGAAGTAAGTCTCTACCCCGCAAGGTGCACGGTACATGCAGTACATAAGGTTGCAACACTGCTTGCTTTCCCTCTGGTCCTTCTAGAAGTAATGAATGTTTACTTTGCCATGGTATCTGTGTTCCACCTACTCCTGTAACTTCAGCAAAAGCTTGAATTAAAGGCCATTCAGGGGGCCAATCTGCTTTTTGTGTGATAGAAACATCAGCACCAGTATCCAATAACCCAGTTATTGCATGACCATTTACCTTACAGGTTAACATAGGTTGTCCTGTTGTAATCTTTTTTTTGTCCAAAAAGTATTTGGCATACCAGAACTCCTAAAACCTTTATCTCGTCTCTGCTGTTGTAAGGCAGGTCGATTGTTACTGACTATATGGGGAAAGAAAATCAATTGTGTCTAAGGTTCTCCTGCCGGTATAGTACGGGGTGGGTGGGGTATCCACACCATAGTTTTATTTCTCCCATATAGTCAGAATCAATTACTCCTGGTAGTACAAGCAATCCGGCTCTAGTAGTAGACCTGCCAAGTAATAGAGCATTTAAACTTCTTGGTAATGGGCCAAAAATCCCTGTTGATAATAAAGATACACTGGTATCAATTATTGTGGCTGATTGCGTTGAGGCCAAATCCAGGCCGACGCTCCAGTAGCAAAGTTACCTTGTCCTAGCAACTCTCGTTCTCCAGATGCAATTCCCGCAGCTCTACTGTCCTTAAGCCCAAACAGAAAATTGAGTAGCCGATAAAATCAATCTTAGAATAGATTTACAATCTAACAGAGTCGTGACATAGGAGTCAGCTGTAGCTTACAACAAGTTCATTGTAAAAGACACCTGTAGTCCATACTCCTTCATATACTTTCTGAGTTCCTTAATAACATCCTATGGTAAACGAGCATATTCCGGAGGCCTCTTAGGTAGATAAATGACTGGCATAGCTTGTAAAATAAAAATATCCCCTTTTTTTAATGCTTCAAAACGACATTCGTCTAATAATCCTCAAGTACGCACTTCACCCAGTGCAGCCGCAGCGGGTGACTGCTATGAAGGTGGCCCCGGGGCGGAGGGAGGTGGTTTTGATATAGAAAGCCGTGATATAGAAGTTTGCCGTTGTCGCTGTAAAATTTCATCTGCAGTTGGGGCTGAGGCTGTAACACTTTTACTGGTGTTCACGGTGGATACAAGTTTGCCTCCTGACCTGGATTAATTGACCCTGTATCAAAAGGATCATCCATACCCAAACTTTCATCCTTTGGCAACTCAGCAGGCACCTCTGAATTTTCATGATTAGAACTGGAGTATAGTAATTCAAATGACCGAGATTCTTTTCTGACCTTTACATTTTCAGTTCTCTCAGGTTCTCTCGATTCAGCTGCAGCACTATTATCGGAAGCCCCTTGCAAAACTTCTTCTGCAGGCATTAATGTTTTTAAGGTGGTAGAGACAACTCACCATGTTATTAAGATTACCCTTCTGGGGTCTCCAGATGCAAAAACTGTTTAGTCTGAATTTCCTCGCCCACCTTTTGCCACAAGGCTAAGTCATAAGAACAAGCCTCCGGAAACCACGGACGATGATCCCTTACCCAAACAAGTAACTTTACTATCTGCACAGGGGCAACCTTAAATTGCTGTTCACGCAATATTCTTCGTAAAATCTCTGCATACAATTTCTGTTCCTTAGTTGCTAACTGCCACGTAATGTCTGTTTATGTAGAATTTCCCGTAGCTGCTCACCTGTGTGGTCCAGCGATCGGTGATGAAAAACTTTAATGAGTACTCAATATGTCCTTCCCTCCGTCCAGCTCGGGAGTATACCACCAAGAATGATCATTCTTCAATTTCTTTTCCATTCTTCATGTCTCTATTCATTCCTGAAAAAAACCCAAATCGGGCAGCGTTTGTGGTATACTGAAGGCACGGACCCCAGCACTTGAGAGTACTGAAATCGTTTATTGAAACAAACTGTGATTTTATGCCTTCCAAAGAAGGGGAGGCCCCTTCTTTCCCCCAGTAGTGCCCCATTCCCAGGTAAAATTAGAATGAAGATAACAGTCCTTTGCAGCTGGCATTCCAAAAGTCTGAGCCAAGTCCTTATGTTTTAAGTGAGGTGTTTTTTGTTCCCAGGATTCGATCACTGGGTTCCCTTTCAGAGGTGCTAATCTGTGCAGTTAACTCGTAGTTCCCCTTTGTTTTCCTTGTTCTTGTTTTGTACTGCAATCTCAGGCTGCCAATTCCTCGGCAGTCAACAGGTTTTTCATCTTCCACACCTCCTCATTTATTTATCTGACGGATGGGATGGTCTGCCTCATGACAGCACTCTGCTCCTCCCGCAAATCCAGCCCTCCAGCAACCCTCCTCACTGCCGGCAGCACCACCTGTAACTTACTAAAAATCGGTACCTGAATTTACCTCTTTCCACCTTCCTGAACAGGACTCCTGAAAAATAACATTTAATAACTGCTACTTCTCGGAAGCCCTCTCTGCGTGCTAGCTAGCGAGATTTATTACGGTACCCAAGCAAAATACAGTGGCAAGGTGGTGTTTCGCTGCTGCACGTGCTGCTGGCACAGCTGTCTCTCTGGGTATTCAGACCCCATCTTGTGACCCGCAGTGGGAGTGCAGGGGCTAACAAAGCGCTTCTCGGTTGTACCTGGCGGACACCCGGCAAAAGGTGCTCACCCCAACATGGGCTGTGCTGTAGCGTCTGTATTCGTCAGGAACAGAGTCCACTGACACCTGGAAGTAAAAAGGAATTTAGCAGCCGGCCGAATTTATTTCACAACGTTTCACCTGCACAAGGATGAAAACTGCATTGGGCTTCACCTTTCAGCTGTTCAGGCATCACGATTTCGTTTGTTCGACGTGCAAAACCTCTGCCTTGTCCAGACAGGAGTCGGGGCACCGTCTGATCTGTTCGTTGCTCTGATCGCCGAAACCAAGGCGCCGTGTTCCCTTCCCACATTTGAGATAAAAAACGTTATTTGTGAAGTATTAAGACAGGACACCACACACCTAAGAACTTCATCAGTCAAACTCCCTGAACACAACTGTTAAGAACTCACAGACGTCTCCTTATTTCTAACATTTCTCCGAACAAGAAAACAGAAACCCTTCCTTGCAAACAAAGACTGACGACTCTGTGCGTTCCCCCATTTCCAAGGTATCTCTAGCCCAGTGACCTTGTGAGAATTAAGAGGCACAGAAAACAGACCTGTGTTTCAAGTTTGCTTCGAAACACAGCACTTCCCTCCCTGAGCATCTACTAGTCCCGAGGACTCCGGTATTGCAGACAGACCAGCAAGCTGAAGGAACACCTCTCCTCCTCTGAAAGACCTTGATGCGCCCTACAGGCCCTGGGCGTCCCCCAGAACATTCAAAAAATCCCACCAGGAATATCACCAGGTCACCGAGGTATACCAAAGCGGCTTCACACGGACAAGAAGCTTTAACAAACTTTAGTTTGCAACCAAATCCAAACAGCCGAAGCCAGTGAGATGACGGGGACAGGGCAGCCAAAACAACGCCCCGATAACAGTTAACTAAGTTCCACGTACCAGCTGGGGACGCTGCTGCTGCTGCACAGCAACACGGAAGAACGACAACGACGGCACGTGAACAGTGATGATACCAAGGTGCGCACCCACTCTCCGAAGGGGGAACCCGCCCCTCAGAGGTGCCCGAAGGGGGCAAGCGCTCACTCAAGCTCACCCCGAGGCACCATTCCCTCACCGAGGGGGGCGGGGGGCTGAGGGCACTCAGTCCCACCAAGCTCCCTTCGGGGTTGTCCCCGTCCCAAGGGGAGGGCTTCCGAACACTCGCCCGCTGCGCCCTCTGAGGGGAGCTCCCGCGGGGGCCGCCTCTTCGAGCCCGGCAGGAGCTGAACTCCGGCCCTAGGCGGCCAGCGCTCCTGCGCCTCCTCTCGCCCCACGAGGCGTTTCGTTGGCTGAGGGCCTTGTCTGTGGAGCAGCGGTCCCGCCCCCCTCTTCCCGCCACGGCAGGGGCAGAGCCGCGCGCGCTGCTCTGCACCCGGCCCGGGTGCGTCCGTGACAGCAGCCGCGGTGTGCCGCCAGAGGCGCGAAAACGAGGGCGCGGGAGAGCCCGCGCCGCCCTGCGGGAAGCCCTAGCCCCTGCCACGCGCCAGGCGAGGGATTTCGGTCGAGTAACACCACGCTAACGGAGCGCCTTCCGAGGCGAGACGGCTTCTCGAGCAGAACAGGACAGCAGCAGGACAGGAGAGGCCCGGAGCGGCCCCGTCGACTGCGGCGGCTGAGGGGCGGCCGCCGGGGGCGCCATTTCGCCGTTTTTCCTGCGGCAGCCTCGGCAGAAATGGCGGAGGGGGCGGAGACTTTTTCCCCGCTGTCCAGTGAGGGGAGAGCGTCCCAGGTGGAGGCGGTGCCGCACGGCCCCAAACCCAATGGGCGTGAGAGGCGGTGGATGATAGACGGGTGGCCGCCTCTGTGGAAAGCCCCGTTAACAAGCGGTTCCGTTAAAAGCGGGCCTAGGAATGCTGCGGAGCGGGGCCTAATCACGAGAGCACTGGCATGGCGAGCGCTGGCTGCTCCCCACCGTGTGGGGAAGGCTGGGGGCCGGCTGGAGCCTCAGCCCTTGGCTGTGGTAGTGTCGTGGTTTAGGCCTGATTGGCAGCCAACCACAATGCAGCAGCTCTCTCTCCCTTCCCCTCCGGCAATGAGAAGGGACAGAGAGCCAGGCATGGGGTTCAAGATAGAACTGGGATGGGGGAAAATCCCCCTTTTATGATCACGAGCAAAAGGCAGACTCGTTAGGGGAAGGAGAAAAAGAACATACATTTATTACAGACACTAACAACACATAACAGAGTAAGACAGTGAGAAGCATTGCCACATCTTGAGAACACCTTCCCCCCACCCCTCCCTTCTTCCCGGGCTCAGCTCTGCTCCCGATATCTCTACCTCCTCCCCCAGGGGCGCAGGGGCAGGGAATGGGGGGTGCAGTCAGTGCTGCCACTTCCTTCGTGTTCGGTGAGGGGAGTGTCCAAAACTTGTTACCCCCTGCTCCATCGTGGTCCCCCTCTCACAGGAGACAGTCCTCCACAAACTTTCTCTGACTTGAATTCCTCCCATGGACCACAGCGTTCCCCACACTGCTCCGTCATGGGTCACTAACTTCCTCCGACTGGATTCCCTCCCACGGCTGCAGCCCTTCCCAAGCTGCTCCGGCGTGAGACTCCCCCGCATGCTGCAATCCTCCCAGCACTGAATTACAGCAGCGGGGCCACCTTTTCCCATGAGACCCCGGCCTTCTTCGGGCACAGAACCTTGATCAGCTGAGCAGGAACAACAGGCCGTAAATCAATGTCTGCTCCACCGTAGATCTTCATGGGTGGCAGGGGGGGGCCGCCCTGCCGTCTCACCACAGGATACAGGGGGGTCTCTGCTCCGGCACACCTCCCCCCTCCTTTCTTCCTCTGTTCCTCCACTGACCTTGGTGTTCACGCAGCTGCAGCAACTCCTCCTCACAAGTCCCACTGCCCGTCACCACGTCCCTTCTTAAATACGTTATCGCAGAGGCGCAGCCGATTGGCTCAATTTCCCAAACAGAAGTGGAGCTGACGTGGAGCTGGGGGAGCTTCGAGAAGCTTCTCACAGGGGGCCGCCCCGATAGCCCCCTCCCCTGCCACCAAAAACTCCACCACTCACTCAACCCAGGACAGGTAGGCAGCAAACGCCTTCGTCTTTGCTGCTGCTGCTGCTGCTGCTGCTGCTGCTGCTGCTCGGGGAAAGTTAGGCAGCTCCACAGCTGCAGTGTCGTCATCTTCACGCATCCCCTGCTTTGGGGATTTTAGAATACAAGCGCGTGGTGACTGGAAAAATAGCACTTGGAACCTGGCTTTTAACAAGGGAAGTTTAAAGACTTCCTGTAGACTACCACAGCTTGCTGTGTAAAGATGAAATCTGTTCAGGCCAAAAGAGTTGATAAACTTCAGACACAAAGCAATCTTCTGCTTACAGTAACTTTATTGCGTGCCTGGGGGGAGTGAGGGGAACGCTTCCCCAGCTCACGGGGGCTGTGCATGCCAGTCAGAGGAGCCCCCCGTGCGTGGCTCCTGCCTGCCTCCACCGCGAGTGGACATAGTGGGCATATCCACAGCCGCAGCTGGGCGTGGAGATGAGCCAGTGCTTGGTGCCTCGTGGGGTTTGGCTGTTAGGGCCATGTGGACGCTTGTGCACCGACTCTGTCCCTCTTCATGGAGGGGGTGAAAGGGCTGCCCCCCGAAGCTCTGGGTGGGGGCTCTGTCTCCCCACCCTCAACCCCTACCCTGGCAGAGCCGCATTCAGCCCTCGTCAGAGGGCTGGACCTGTGGCCTTGGGGGACGGGGAGGACGTCTGGGTTGGGGTTTGGGGGAGCTGGGCCCATTTTGAGGCACTGAGGCGGCCAGTGTTGGGCTGGGGGCAGGAGGGGTTGGCGGCGGTGGTGGTGGAGGTGGCAGGGAGTCCCGTCTGGAGGGTGGACGTGCCGGTGTTTCAGGCGGGGGCTGCAGCTGCTGGCGTTGGTCCCAGCTGCCAGCGATGCCGGGGTGGCTGGTGGGGCTGACCGAGCGCAGGGGGTACCCGCTGGTTTCCAGCCGGTGTCCCCAAGGTGCAGGGGCATGTCTGTGGAGAGAGGAAGCCGCTGAGGCACTCGGCTGCAGGAGGGACACAGGGACTCCTCTCCAGAGCAAGGCCCACGAGCAGCCATGCAAGGGAGCAGTGCAGGGAAAATCACTGACTCACTCTTTGCTCTTACTCCGCTGCCGGACGAAGACGTAGCACAGCAGCAGTGCAAGTGGCACGAAAATCACGATTACCACTGTGCCGATCATGCAGCCCTTCCGCACATCTTGCGGACAGAGAACACTTGGGATGTTCTGGGGACGGGACACAGTGGGGCTTGTCTCGCCGACCGCACCTGGAGATGCAATTGGGGATGTTAGTCTGTCCAATGCACCACTGTAAGCTGGCAGCACGTCTCATATGACCAGGAAGGTCTCTCTTTCCCACCAGTGCTGGTGCCCGGAGGCACGCTCCCACCCTTTGGGACAGGTTGTCCCCCCAAACAAAACTGAGGCGGCCAGAGGAGCACGTGGCGGGGAGCGCATCTGCTCGAGCAGTCGCTCCTTCGAGGGACACGGACAGAAGAAACCATCCCTGCAGCAGGCAGTGCCACCCCCAACTCTCCCTGCCCCCGGGCAGCTCCCACATCACCAGGGGATGGAGTCAGGACTTCTCAAGAGGACACCTGAGCCTCCCTCCCCACTTCTGCCTTTTCCCCAGCATGGGCACCGCCTGCAGCCGCTCCCAGAGTTCTGGACTTATCTCCCACTGAAGGACCCCAGCAAGACTGCTCAGTACCTGAGTTTGTTTGAGGAAATTCATACACTTTGCCACGTTGATGTTCCCCAAACCTTGACAGCACTGCCAAAAAGCAGAGAGGAGAGGTAAAGCCTCCGCATGGCTCAGGCACAGAGGATGCAGGAGGACGGGGAGGTTCCCTCCAAGCCCCTGCCCAGCTGGGGAGTCAGGGCATCGCTCTGGACCTCGGCTCACGGGAGGGATCCCGCTCTGTGCTGCTCTTGGGCCTCGAGGGACTCATGGCAAGCTCTGGGATGCAGCTACAGCGGGAGGTGCGTCGGATTAAGAGTTACATTCCCCATCATCTGCGGAACGTGGCCCAGGTGCCGCGAGCCCACAGCACTTTCCCCTTTGGCTGCTGACGTGACGTGCAAGAGCGGGACTGGGGGAAGAGCCTGCTGACGCACAGCGATCCCGATGGGTGCCAGCGGCTGACCCCGGCACAGCAATTACCTGGCATGCGGGGGGCTTGCATCGCCTCCCTTGCTGAGGCAGAGGCGGGCCGTGAGCCACTGCTTCCTCCTGGAAACGCCGACTCCTGCACAGCCTCTGGGTCTGTCTCTTGAGAAAGAAAGCGGGACAGTTGGGTCAGGTGGAACCGTTCCCCATCAGGGCGGTGGCACCTCCAGGAGGCAACGCTTCTCAAAGCCATCGGTAAGGTTTAGATAAATAAATCTGCCTGCCGACATCTGCACAAGCCAGCTGTGAGCCGTGATGGTAAAACGGGGGCACCAGCTGCCCTTGGCACTTGGCTTGAGCCACAACTGGCAGCAGAGGCTCTGCCCCATCTCTGTGGCTCGCCAGCGCCTGCAAGGCGTGAAACCCAGCATCGCTGCTGCGAGGCTCTGCTCGACCCCTGCCTGCTGGGCCGGCGACGGCGTGTCTGGACACGGATCTAAGAGCTCCGGCTGACGAGTCTCACGGCTAAGGCAGAGCAAAGTGTACCCACCCTGTGTTCTCTCCAGCTCCTCCAGTATTTTCTTCATGATTTCTGATGGCTCCCGGGAGTTTTTTCCTCCTTCAGCTCTGGGAGGACCTTAACAGAACGTATTTGGTACGATTCCACATGAATAAATTGCGCAAAACCAG